GAACGCTAGTCATTTTTAAGTATATGTATAGACTAAAAATTTCACCTATTTGTTTAGTTTTCGACGTAAAACGCACTTGTCGATCGACTGTAAGAATTCAACTGCGTCATATTTGTTTTTTGTGTTCAGGGTGGCACCGTGGCATTCGAGAGGGTCGCGTGTGCGGGCAATGTACCCGTGGGACAGTGTTATTCATTATGACGATTAAACACAAAGTTAATTTTCTATAGTGTTAAATACGAGTATAGATACAGGGTTGGGCTTCGTAACATTGACACTCAAATATCCAGCTGGTAATGAAAAACATTGCACTGACTATAAAATATGGTACTCCATAAAAGGCGCTATTTGTAGGATTCGGTAGCTTCTCCATTATCCAAGCTCAAAGTTTATTACTCAGCCGAGGACTTTCGTCTTTTGTTACGTAGAGACCTATTACAGATAATAGTAAAAAATAATATATTTTAATTAAATGGGCTACTTATATTTAAATTGGAATTTAATATGATATAAAATTGCGGTTTTATTAGTTTGATAATAATGTAGTACCTATTACATTTGAAATCGGAAAATGGTCTTTATATCTAATATACTTATATTAGAATTACTATACAAATGAGGAGATCTCATAAATAGGAGAATACATAGTATGAAGCTGCTGTGAAAATGTGCCGTAGCGAAACTCCAGCAAAGCAATGAATTGAGTAATTAGGAAAGATAGTGTGAGTCATTACGTTTTTATGCCCTGGACGGACTATAGGGTGATACACATTCTTTTTAATTTTTGTTGTCTTTAGTGTAGTTATGTCTCTGAATGCAAAACAAAATGTTACTTTTATACTAAATAAAAAAGATCAAACTAAAACAGAGCAATTCATCTATACCTACTAATATTATAAAGAGGTAAAGTTTGTGAGTTTGTGACGTTGTAGGGGGTGATCTCTGGATCTACTGAACCAATTTAGATGAAATTTGGTAAGTAGATAGTTGCGAACCTGGGAAGGATATAGGATACTTATTATCCCGGAAATCATCCCTAAAGGGGGGTGAAAACGGGGATGAAAGTTTGTATGGGGAATTAAGCTAGGGACGAAAACGAGCGAAGCGAAGATGAGTTGCTAGTTACACTCATGTAAGTAACGTTAAAAAGTTAAAATCATAAGTTCTGTCATTTCTATTATGGTAGAATATTAAGAAAAAATAAACTTATTGCTTCTTTTATTTTATCTATATTTTGTTTTGACGAAGTGTAGATGACAAATATAAACGAAATACATACTTATATGCAGATTTTTTCATCGGGACCATGTAATGCAAGTTACCTACAACATTTGTAAACATTACATATGTATGATATACATATGTAAACGGGTAGGTCTATTCATATCTCAATATGGTATTCAAAAAATGCCATGTGGAATATTTTGCGCTTGTTCTGTAAGTATATAATCAATTTTGCATAACATCTCGTTTAACAATGCTAGCACATTTTAACGACGCTAACAACATCACGTCCGTCTATCAATCACAATTGATGTTACCACTATCTGCAGCAGCGTCTGTTATCCATACTATAATAAAGCAGTAACTTAGCAAAATCTGTACATGAAATATATTTTTAAACAATGACTGCTAAGTATTATGTACACAATATAGACCCAAAAACAATAGTTATTAAAATTTTTGTCTGTTTGTGTGTGCGCGTTTCACGCAAAAAGTAATGAACTGATGTCAACGAAATATGGTGAAGTGATAACTTATTATTTGGGTCGACATTTAGGATACCTTTTACTTCAGAAAAATCTTTCTTTCTCACGGGAATACACAATAGCTGGTTTTATCGAGTCCTCCTTAGAAACCTTCCGCTGGCTAAATCTTAAGAGATACATCAAAACAACGTACTAAAAAATTGTTGTCTTGAAAAGGCTTACAGATAAATCCGCAACAGTATATATCTATCTCCTAATGTACACTCGCTATTACTATTTTTATTATATAATATTACTGTTTTGTATACGTTATCTATACTAATATTATAAAGAGGTAAAGTTTGTGAGGTTGTAAACGGTAATCTCTGAATCTACTAAACCGATTTAGATGAAATTTGCTACGAAGATAGTTTGAGATCCTAGAAAGGACAAAGGATAGTTTTTATCCCGTAAATTATCCATTAAGGGGGCAAAAATACAGATGAAAGTTTGTGTGGAGAATTAACCTAGGGACAACCCCAAGCGAAGCGAGGGTGAGTCGCTAGTATTTTAATATTTTTCAAATAGTATACGCAATTTTTTTAGATTGCAAAGTTCAACAAAGAGACTTTGTGAAATCTTGGAGAAAGGTCTCATAGAATCGGAGTATTAAAAACAATTGTGTCAAATTTTTCGTCGATTTAACCGCTACTGGCCTATTTTGCATAATGGTGCTCTACAAGACCACGGGGAGTCTTACCACAATGTTTACTGTAAAGCGGTCTCTTGTGCAAAGAAATCCTACAACCCAATGTTATCCTAAGTAACAAGACTGGTACATTACTACTTTATTTTTCTTATTTTGTAAGTTGCGTCAGTTAATTTCTTTGTCTCTGATGAACTTATAATTAAATAGATATAACAAGAAGTTCCCAAGGGCTTGATCACTGCCTAGCTTTTTTCTAGTTAATGTAGTGAGAAAACCTTTTGAGAAAGCAATAACAGTCAATTCCAAGACGATTCAATAATCATAATATTTGTTTCGTTCCAAATTCAACGATCTTTCATCTAATTTAAACTGAATTTATTACGAAGTCTGAAGCCTTGTTGCTACGGTACGAGCTTTATCAATAGCAATTCATTACAGTTCGGAAGGCTGCATGTAATCAAATCTGCATTCAAAAACAGCGTATAGACATAATCAAAAGCGAGATGTGTCTATAATTCTCAACCCTGTGGCGTTTCCCCTCGAGTATATCCGAAATAAATAACTTTTGAGAGGCCTTAAGGAACAGTTCTTCTATTCACTTCAGCAAAAACTTGTATCGAAAACTTTCTGACCTACAAAAACTATTTTTCTATTCCGGTTAAAAAACATTCGTTCCGGTTAAAAAAGTCGTTCTCGCCTGAATTGCAGTATAAGACACGATAAACATATTATATATTTTAAGGTTTTTTGAACTTACAGTTGTGCAAATAACTGAGTGGGAGTGAGTTCAATTTAGTTTCAGTTTACAAGTTAAGATAGATATTATGTATAGCAGGAGGTTCGTACGAAGAACATCAAAATATGATTTATAGCTACATCATAATATACTTTCAGGAATAATCCTGTAATACAAATACAAAATATGTTGCCTTGTAAGCTTTATTATGTAAGATGTGAATATTATAAGTATATATACATATGTATATGTTACCGACCTAACTAGATTTCAGGCCAAACTGGTTTGACGTAGACCAAACCGGTTCATCCAAAGTGTGTCAGGATATATTAGTTTAGCCCGGACAAAATACTAAATACTTTAGGCTTAAATAGTTTGGCCTAGGCCAATATGATTATTATTCGGTAGTCGGAGTGGGTGCTATTATTATGTGACAGGCCCGACTTGGATAACGTAGGCTGCGCTACGCTACGCTTCGGTCCCTCCCGTCGTAGCCTTCACGTTAATATTTTTTAAAGCCCAGAACCTACAATATCATAAGTTCTATATTATTTCAATCAGTTTTGCCTTGTTCAAACTAGTTAAGTCTAAAGCATTTAGGATAAACTAGATTGTCCTGAGCTAAACTAGTATATCCTGACACACTTTGGATGAACCGGTTAAGCCTAGGAAAAACCACTTTGGCCTGAAATCTAGTTTGGCCGGTAACATATATATATATATATATATTATACTATGACATGTGTAATGTGTATGCCACTTATGTATTCTAATACTGCTCCCCCGATTAGTAATTCTTTTGCTACTAGAACTTTAATTATAAATGATATAAATATTATCAACATATTTTAATATATTTACATGTTTGTACTTATATAATTGTAATACAAATGAGGAATATATTTTCTTATAGTATTATAAAAAAATTTTTCAAGTAAGATTTGTTTGTATGTTTAGAATAAATCGCTGGAACTTAATTCTAAAAAATCTTTAAGTCGTAAAAAGCTGCATCATCTCTAAATGACAATTTTAATCTATCTATCTATCACACGAGTGGAACTTCAGGCAAAAACTACTTGGTATTAAATTACAATAAATTATAATTATACTAGCAGAACCCGCGGCTTCGCTCGCGCTAAAACTACAAAAAAAACTCTAAAAAGGTAGGTTTCATACAAAATTTCATCCCCTGTTTTACCCCATTATCATCAAGATCATTAATACCAAGTTTCGAGTAATTTTGATCATAAATATTTTTTTTGGTTTGTATTATAAAGTGATTTCCCGTGGGAATGAGATAATTTCCCGTGGTAAAAAATAGCCTATGTCACTCTCCAGCCCTCCAACTATCTCCATACAAAAACTCACGCCATTCTGTCACTTTGTTTCGACGCGAAAGAAGGACAAACAAACACACTTTCACATTTATAATATTAAGTATGGATTTACTGTAAGACATCCAGAGGACTTGGTACCGCTTTATTAAACAATTTTCTATTTGTTGTTGTTGTCAATATCATTGCTCACTCTGTATACAATTAGTTCAATAATTTAAATTAGAATTGAATATCAATTAGTATATAGAAAGCAATATATTCATAAAAAACTATGCATATTCACATTAGATCTCTTACGACTATGGCTCGTAAACAAAGGCCGGAAAAGATGTAGTGAATTTACGCTCCACTTTATTAGACTATCAGTTAGTAACAAGTTTGTTTCTTGTTACCTATCAAGTTAATTTAGAATTTCAAAGCAGAAAAAAAATACTGATGTTAAAATATTTCAAAGCTATTATCAGAAGTAAAAGCCCGTATAATGAATGCCAAAATAATAAACACGTTAGAATGTTATGGCGGAATATTACCTTGGAATTCTGTCGTAGCTGTCCCATCCTGTCAAGCAATTGTAAGAGCTGTATCTGCTGACCGCTGCCATTCCGAACTTTATATCATGATAATGTCACTTTTGATATTTATACTTTTTAATACTACAATGAATAAGGGTCTGTCCAGAATATTTAATCCATTAATGTAAACAATGTGTCGTCACGTAACATCCTAAATACATATTTTTGTTTATAATGATAAATCATCGTTGTTTTATCTAAAGTATTATGAACCAAACAGCGTGACCTTCCTGATCCACCAGCAAATAAAGCGAAAGTGAATAATCCAGGCTTTAAAACCTAATTTGCTACACAATGATATTGATTTACAGGAAAGTTCTCTACGTTAGAATACGGTTCTTACTGATTTGAAATAACTTGTTCGGGTATATACATTGAGTCTGTGTTAGTTAATGGAGTGACACATCGAGTGAGCGGGATCGACGCGGTGCGACGAAACTGCTAGGATAGGACTCAAGTAAGTATATACCGCTTACTCATTTACATATGTATAAATGTATATATGTACGTCATTCTAATTTGCAAAATTTTACTGGAAACTGACTTAACAGAAAATTACTTAAATTTCATGTACGTACACCTGAACAAATTATAGTAAGTAATTAAACGGTTTAATCGAAACGATTACACTCGGCGCTTTTAGGTCTTATTAAATAGCTAAAACGAACTATCGCTAATTAATAACTACACAAGAAAATATAAAAGTACTAATAATATTAATTATTAATATTATACAGCCATAGTTTTAAGTTCAATATACTAAAGTTGAGAGAGAAGATGATTTATCAAAACAAAACATCAATGTCAAATGAAGCCGTAATTTTAACAGACCACAAGAGGTGTTGAGATCTCAAAATATTAAGATCGTTTATTTAACACAGGGTATTAGATTAGTATTTAGATTGAGTGATGAAATACGAATTAATATCAACAATTGAGACGCGAAGTTACAGTGAGCGCTACACAAAGCCAGCAAGGCAGGCGCCACTACGCCGGACTGTGTTCGACTGAGTCGCCGTCGCCTCTCCTGCCGCGCCCGGCACCTTCCGCCTCGCTACAACGCTACGACGGCATCGGCGACACCGCGATATGAACAATCTTTTGAACCTCCGCGTCATGAAGTATGTGTAATGCGCTTCCAACATAAAACAATGACATCCATAATATAGTAATATTGTAAATGTGCAAGTGTGTTTGTTTGTCTGTTTGTTTGTTTGTTTGTTTGTTTGTTTATTTATTTGTTTGTTCGTTTATCTTTCTTTCACGTCGAAACGGATTAACTGACGGCTTGGCGTGATTTTTTGTGTGGGGATAGTTGAAGGGCTTGAGAGTGACATAGGCGGCTCCTTTTTACTGCGGGAGAATATCTCATTCCCACGGGAAAACACGTTATACTCGTAATACAACCCAAAAAAATATTTATGATGAGAATTACTTGAAACCTGGTATTAATGCTCTTCAATACAATTAAATAAATAGGTGTTTTAGCATTTTTCGAAAATCATACCATATTAGGGTAAAATATAGGGGATTAGTTTTATCGCGACCGAAGCCGCGGGTTCTTCTAGGTAATTATAATTTTAATTTTTATGCATAGATTTATTATACTTATTGGAAATTGGTACATAGACAAATATGATCTAATGATGAAATATATGGTGTAATTTTCCATACATTCTGCTTGTGATTGTTAATTTTAAAGCGAATCTAAAAAATACAGTACGAGTAGTAGGTATATATAATCTGTGCTTATTGTTTAAGAAAAATATAAAAAAAATATAAAAGTTGAATCTGCGTTTGCAATGTTCAATTGAATAATGTACGGCGATACATTTTCTTTCTTACCAACTTCAGCAAGTAATCGGTCAACAGTTGAATTTTTAAAAGTAGGCGCGGATCACACACACTCAAGGGCTCCTTACATTCTTACATTTGATAGAAACTTAATGGCATAATAAATGGTACTTGTAATTTTTTTTCGTAAAAGCTGTGGGTGAAATAATTTTATTATATTCTGTATTTTATTTTCATATTAAGTTCGTTAGTCGTTAGTTTCAGAAATAAAATGAGTTTTATGAGTTGAAATTATTTATCGAAATGTTTTCTAATTTCTATTATCAGTTTTGATCTACGCATTTGGAAAAATAAAAATAAAGAATCTTTGAATTTAATTCGTTACGATGATAAAACATGTTTTTAATGTACGAATTAAAAACCAAACAGGATTTATAAGTTTCTCCTACACATATGTCAAAAATGGTTGTAATATATGGGCAGACACTAACGCTAAGAACGATATGGAACCTTATAACATATATTTGTTTTATCGAGATGATGATTCCAGTTTTTTATTCCAACGTGACTCCTGTTAAAGTATATCTAAAACGAAAATAATAAAATTCCGACTGGTAGGTGGTCCTGTGAGTGATTAGTAATTCATAAATTTTATATTTTATATCGAAAAGGGGACTTGTTTAAACATTTTAGAGGTAATTTCGTTATAAATTTTATTTCTGAGTAGATGGTGAATGTAATTAAGGAAATTAAAGTTATATATTTTATATCCTACCTAGTCCTAGCCTTTTATTGAAGTAGAATTGAAAAAGAAAAAGGAACCCTTATAGGTGCAGTACATTGTCCGTCTGACTGTTCGTCTGTGTGCCTGTCTGTATGTCCATCTGTCTGTCTATCAAGGCCCATTTTCGCAGAAACACGTTTAGGTATCAGGTTAAAATTGATATCAGATACTCAGGTCTACAATCCCTTGAAGGGGTGGAATAATCAAACTTCTACCAACCTAAAGGGTGTAAAATCTATAGGGTGCTTCTCGTTGACCCAGAATCATAAAATTAGGCAAACAGCAATTTCAATATAGCATATATATAGTAGAGGTAAAAATCCTATAACCGTAAAGAAGATCGACATAACATGGGACTTGGTCTCATTTTTGATCATGCGTACCACAATGAAATTATATAATAATCTAATCTAATCTGCAAGTACTTTTTCATTTTTCATCCGGAATTTGGAAAAAGTATATTTTGAGGTATAAAGATTGACATAAATTACATTTTTTCAGTTGACAGTTCTGCCCAATGTAATATTGAGTTGTAGGTACTAGATTAATTTTACATTTATAACAAGTTGTGTTCACTAAATTAAAGAATAATTAATTGACTGAAGAAATAAACAGTATCTATGAAATAAAAATGACCCCTTTCAAACCAAAAATAATCACATCAATCTTTATATTATCATAATTATAAAGCACAATGCTTATACGTATAGTAGGGGAGACCAAGATTGGATTTTGGTATTTACTTAAGGCGAAGAGGCAAAAATCCATAAAGTTTATGGTATATTTTTGCCTCTTTGGCTTGTGGAAATCAGTAGATTATGAATTGCACTTGCACTTGCGCTTTTCAGCATGTAATTAGTCCACCATACCTTAATATGAGGGTTTCAAGTATTTCTAACTTTTTATAGTATTTTTTTAATATTTTGATCAGCTTCCCTAGACGCGCAACTTCCTCCTTCCTTGCGTCCTTACACAGGGCCTTATGGTGGAGGTACTCAACAGAGTGCAAGGTATTCCCCCTTATGTTTATCGGCCGCGCTTGAGTAAATTCTATAATCCTTTCTTGGGCTCTCCTACTAGTATAACTGCGTAGATTCGGTGGTAATTGTATGTAACAATTAATGGGGCGATAATCAAGCGCTGATATTTTATCGTAGAAATATGGAGACTCAAATATCACAATATAACACAGCTTAAAATGTCTCACAGTAGAAAGCATGTCAAATGATAGACGGTTTTTACGGTTGACGGTTGCATGCTATTTAAATATATATTTTTATTAATATTATTTACATTTAATAATATTTTATTACTTAATTTATTTTTATAATCAAAATATTTAATTAGATTAAGAGCATAGCATTGATATATAAAATATAAATTAAACTAGCATTGCCCGCGGCTCCGCCCGCTTTTAAATGACCAAAACCAAATTCTTAGGTTTTACATATTAGCATACTCTTAAAATGCATTATTTGTATTTTTTCTCAGAAATTAGATATTTTCCCGCGGTAAAAAGTATCCTATATGTTGACCCGGATAACCAGCTATCATCATACCAAATTTCATCAAAATCTGTTCAGTGGTTTTTTCGTGATGCGGTAACAGACAGACAGACATACAGACAAAAATTCTAAAAACTATAAATTCGGACTCTATATCGATAATAATGTCTGTTTCAATTAGATTTTCCAAAAAATATTTTATGTACAGATTCGACTTAAATACAATTTTATTATATGTAGGATAGATAAACATATAGAAATGTTAAAACATTTCAGCAATGTCACTTACTGCATGACGTCTTTGCGTATTCGATCGGTGGTAGGAAATACAAAAGTCGTTGGCATTTTTATTTATTTGTCCTTTAAAACCTACTTCAGTAACTGTCTAATAATTTGAGGATTCCATTGAATTTTAATATAAGAATTTACAACTAAAGCTCATTCATGTACGCACTCAAAAGTGGGCTCGTCCGCTATCGATCTCTTCTCAAAAATTTTGCGATTATGAACTTATTTTAATGATTCATCATACTGAACTACTGAACCATAGGTAGTTGAGTCAGACTCGCACTTGTCCGATATTTTTAATGAATTACAAAAAATTTAAACGAAAAAATATCTGTTGGTTTTGTATTTAAAATTTTGTACTGAATAGCGAATATTATGAATATTATATAAAGCACCCGTATTTTGTTTCGTATTGTTCCAGCCTTTTTACACATAATACGGAATACGAAAGATGTAATCCGTAAATAAATCAAATGTACTTTAAAATATTACACAATACATAATTTTCGACCTGCTCAATGCTCATGCTATTTTTTGTTAATTCATAATAATAAACATAATATGTTATAAAACAATAACATTATTATGTAAAGTAAATATTATTGTAAATTTTAAAATAACTTATTTTTATATATTACACACAATACTATATCACTCC